GCTCTCTTCATTCTTTCTTTTAGTAATTTGTAAAATTTTGATCCAAGCGATAGGCTAACATAGTTCAAAACCATTAAACTGTACAAAAAGTCTAATTAAAAAATAACCCTGCTGTCCCTCCTCAGGCTTCGTCTTCCCCCAGGTTGTCACCCCAGAGACACAATACTGACAAATACGTAATACCAGACATAGGTCTGATGTAATTTTCGTATGTTGCTATGAATTAATTAAAGTTTGTTTATTTTTGACTTTGTGTTATGGTAAATGAGATCATGATACAATCCCCACACAGGCGCGCGCGAAGTCCCTTTTACCCAACTGCCCAAACTGCTCATATTACAACCTTTAATCTGTAAGTCAGTTTTTATATTTTTATGATTATGTACTCATTCCTGATCTAATTATCTGCTATCCTTTCTTGTACGATTCTTATTACTCCTGGAGTTGATACTTTCTTTTCTTATTTACATGCATGATTTTTATGTAATTGAACCTAACTTTTCCAGTTTATCAAACCTATCAAAACCCTTTAATATAATTTTTAAACTGATAAAATTATAAATTTTAAATATGAAACTTAAAAATTATCACATAATCTATCAGCTTCTTTTTTCCCCCCCTTGCAAAATTTCTTCCTGGAACACTCTACTTTTTCTTTTTCCTCATACTCACCTATTCAGTTGATTGTAGAATTCCCTGTTGACAATCACTTCCCCCTCAGACTTTAGTGTGCTTGATATCTAGGGTTTCCTGCTGAGAATTCAGAAGCTGGACCTTTTTCCTGTTCCCTTTTATGTGACCTATTCCCACACCCTCTTGGAATCATGAGTCTTTACTCCTTGTATCTGGAGCACTGAAATTTCACGACAATGCAAAATGGTGTGCATTTCTTTATAAAATAATTGTCTTAGGTATTCAATGAGCACTTCCAATCATGGTCTTAGTTTCTTGCTGTTGGTGGTGGTGTTATACTTGCTGTTTTTTAAAAATAATTTTTAAATCATTTCCTTTCTGTTATGTTCTGAAATGCTATTGAATTAGATGTTGGACCTTCAGAGTTGACTCTGATTGTTTTGTTTTTTTCTGCTCCAGCTGTTTTGCCTTTCATTTTCATTCTTTATTCTGGGAGATTCCCTCGCCTTTGTTTTCCAAACTTTCTGTTGGAATTTTAATTTGGGTAATATTTCCAAGGGCTTTTCCTTGCTCTTTGACTGCTCTTGTTCCATAGGTATAACGTGTCCTTTTATAACTGAAATAGTCACTGTCCTCCTCTCACCATCGTTTTTCTAGTGTGCTTGCTTTGATCTCTTTCTTTCATATGAGACTAATCGAGTGTCCTTTGATCCTTAGTTTTTCATTTATATTTGAAGGTTAGACTGAAAAAGGTAATCGAAGCTCTTAGTGTGTAGATAGAATTTGCTTGATGTGCTTCATTTACAGTGATTAATCAGTGATCCCATATGCATCCTTTTAAGCAACACTCCATTTTCAGTAATTTCTAGTCTCCACAGTACCTGCTGTCTTCAGACGCTGGGCTTTCCAGGATGCTGTGCGTGTATTGACTGGCGTCTTGTTCTCCCTCTGTCCAGACATTTAGCTGGAGGCTTCCTTCATGAAGGAGATACTCTTCCATTTCCCTTCTGACTCCCCCTGAAGTTGTTCCGCCTGAATCTCAGCTGCTGCTATTTCTCTGTTTACCATTCTCTTTGAGGGTTTAAAAATGTTTTACTCCTTTGCAGTCATTTTGGTGAGGTTATTGGAAGAAGAGAAATTAAATGCATGAGAT